TAATTAGATTAACTTTAACTGTAGTTTGCTAGAGTAGTTTTAGTTCTTTCATCTTAATCTGGTTTGCTAAATAATAAACTGAAGCTGAGTAATAGTAACTCTAGAGACCCGTGGATTCGATATTTATCACTTGAGCCACTATACTGCAGTCCCTTCCATTGGTTACACTTGGCCATTGTTAGGTGTTGTGTCATAGCGAGTCAAGTTTTTGGCGCCGTTGCCGGGGACTTTCTAGAGTATTAGGAAAGGTAGAAGTTTGTTACTTTAGCGTTTTTCTTTTCTTTTCTTTTCCACCCTTGCTTTCCACTTGGGTGTTTTTGTTTTTGTTGGTGCAGATCTGAATCATGGATCCTCATGGCTTCTCCAACAATTGGGGGTATCCACCACCATCCGAGTGGTATTACCCCGAGACTCCCTGGAGCAATCAAGGAGGAGAAGACTATGGATTCGGGTTCCAGTACCAACCCCCTTACTACGGTGAACAACCGGACCCCTGGGCATATCAAGAACAACCTCATTACCAAGAAGAATTTCTCCCACAACCAGAAGGGCCATCGGCGCTGGAGTTACCCATGGCGGCCTTCACGGGCTATTCTGCAGAGCCATGCTACACTCCACAGCCAGATCCAACCTACGAATTGAGGCTTCTCATGGAGAGATCATGCTCTAGGATGGATCATTGTGTCCAGGCCTTTCGTGAAACAGAGGAGATCCTCCTGAGCCTTAAGAAGAGCGTCGATGATCTTGAACGATCTTGGGCACAACCTGCTCCAGATCACCCTTCTGCTACCATACAAGAAGAGGAGGAGGAAGAAGAAGGCTACAAGGACATTGTGGAGCACACTGAAGTTGTCACGGAGAGCTCCCGTGATGATCATGATTAGGAGTGTCATGTCGTAGCCGACCACACCTTCCCACACCCCAAACTGAGCTTTGAAGAGGCGGGCATGAGTGAGGAGATGCAAGAAGATCTCATGAAAGAAATTGCTTGGCAACTTGCTCTCCAATCCGTGCTAGAAGAAGAAGAGCAAGAAAGGGTGCAGAAAGAAGTTGTGGAGGATGACGAAAGTGAAGCTGGAGGAGTTCTTGATCATTTCCCAGGGGTGATACCACATGAAGAAGGAAGGGAGGTTGAAGAAGCAATTGGAGTCCAGGCTGAGGACGAAGTTGAGGTGGAAGAGGCTTGCACCGGCCATGAGTTGCAAGTGATATCCCCACCAAACTTTGAGGAACTGCTTAGCAAGGACCCATTTGCAGTTTTTCTTTGACGGACCAAAGCCACATCGAAATCGGTCCCTCTTGGTGGACGCGATGGTGGCCAATCGATGCTGTCATATCTGGTTTGGGGCAATGAGACGAGAGAAGAGAAGAAGAGGTCTCGAGGGTGGAGACTTCATTTGCATCAAGTACATGAGCCTTCATCACCTGTCACACCACATGCTCGTGACTTGAGACTCCACCTCATCGACGAGAACCTCAACTTCAAGGAGGTTCTAGCATGGACCGAAACTTAGGAGCCATCGTCTGGCTCACGACGTGAAAGAAGCGCTTGTTGGGAGGCAACCCAACTAGTCGGTTTGCATTTCTTTCTCTATTTCCTCGGTTGAGTCAGTTTTGTTATTTGATTTTAGAGTCAATAACTCAACCTTTGTGAGATTTTGTGTGGTGTTTGTGTTCTGATTACTCTCTCTTTCTGGAATGCACCGCCTGACCCGTTCATCATCATTCAACCTTGATCTGGTAACTTCGTTCTACCCTCCTTATCTTTCCTCCATTGAGGACAATGTCGTGCTTAAGTGTGGGGGGATGTTCGATTATTTATGCGGGTGAATGTTTGGCTGTTTGTGTGCTTGGAGCCTAGTCCACTGTCCAAATTTTTAAATTTGAGGGCTCCAAGTACGTGTTCCTTGCAATTGCCTGCTCAGTATGCTTTGAATTGACAGTCTTTATAGTAATATGCAACCTAGGGAGGTAGTGTAGCACTATGGAGGATGTTGATGCATTTAAGAAATCTCATTTCTTCTTCATATTGTGTTGGTTGATTGAGTGAATTAGTGATCTTAGGACCCTTGAATTGTGTGGTGTTGTGGATTCTCTGCCTGTCATGGACTCTTGTATCATGCTTTGAAAATAACAGGTGCTCGAAAATGTGCTTCAAAATAACGTCTCCCGTGCGAATAGGGCGAAAGTGTGTAAGGGGAGACGGGAATCCGTTCCCAATTTCCACCTACTACCTCCAGCCCCCTTACATGTCTTTCCCCCGCACGAGGCTCGAGACATCCGCTCCTGGCATGGCCGGTAAGAGCCGGTTGGGACCCTTGAAAAAAATCACAGAAAATAAGCAAAACAGTAAGAAAAGGGGTTCCAACCATCTTCAAAGAATATAGAGCACCTTGAAAAATGTGAGTCCATGATCTTTTGTTTTTGAGAATCTCTTCATCCACAATTCATTTGTCCTCTGTTCACTATTTGCCATGATGCCCACTCGATACTAGTGCTCTCGCCGAAGGAGCTATGAGATGACTTGTGCGTCGGTTGACCTCGTAAGCTGCTAAATGATCTAGGAAGTCCTCTACCTACGATCTGGGTTGTTTGTTGCTATAGAGGTCTGGAGAGTTGCATTGGTTTGAGTTAGGTTTGCTTGGGGACAAGCAAACGGTTAAGTGTGGGGGAGTTCGATAACGATGTAATTGCACATATTTGCGCCCCTAGTTCTTACCCGTTTGAGGGGCATAGTCGTGTACTTTTGGCCTATTTTACGGCGGGTTGTGCTATTTTGGCTTATTTCAGGTCCCAGGCGTCAAAGGAAAGGCTAAGCACGAGTTTCGGGGCATTCAGAAGTCATTTCGTCGAGCTGGAGCCAAAACACGGGCACACCTAATTCATTACACGGCCGTGTTCTCCCAAAGCACGGCCGTGTTCTCTCCAAAACACGACCGTGTTCTGTGGCCGTGCTTTTACTGCCGAGAGCTAATTCGAGTTTGGCAAACATGAGCTGATTACACGGGCTGAAAGCACGGCCGTGTTCTCCCAAAGCACGGCCGTGTTTCTCTCAATGCACTGGCCGTGTAATTAACCCTAGCCAAAGCACGGGCGGGCTGAGGCATTACACGGCCGTGCCCTCGACCGTGCTTTGGCCACTGATGCCTTTTTAAGCAGATTTTCAGCCAAAAGGAAAGGAGAGAGCTGGGTTTTGGATCCCAAACACCCAAGGGACGAACCAAAGAGAGAGGGCGATTTGAGGGCATTCTTGGAGTGGAATTGGAGGATTTCTTTGCCTTGGAAGCTCGAGGAACAAGCCCGGACTTGAAGACTGATCATCTGAAGATTCTTACTGCAGTCTCTCTCTTCTCTATGGAGTAACTTCCCTTCACTTAGGTTTAGAGGAACCCTAGCTATGTTTGTTTGATTGGATGATTGTATGAGTACTCTGACTTGATAATCTTGAGTTCATATTCAATCTATGCATGTTTTCATGATTCAATTATGCTTTAGTCGAGATTATTGATTCTGCTTTGATCCTATGAGAGGGAATACCTGATTAGGTCAATAGAGCACCATAGATTGATAGTAGTGGATCGATTGCTTTAGTCGAGGGTTGATTCACTGCTTTGTATCGATTGAGAACCTCATTCGATAGAGGGAATCTAGTTCAGAACGCCTTGATCGGTTTTTCTAGAGAAGGATACGTCCCTCTAGGCAATTGACTCAAGAGGGTCTTGTTCCTTTAGTCGAGACTCAAGGTCTAGTCAAGGATTTTCCGCATTGTGAATGAAAGTGAAACAAGTTAGAAATCATCAATCGTTAGTCTGGCTAGTGGCTAGGGGGAATCATACCTAAGTGAGTTCCCAACCTGTAATTAGATTAACTTTAACTGTAGTTTGCTAGAGTAGTTTTAGTTCTTTCATCTTAATCTGGTTTGCTAAATAATAAACTGAAGCTGAGTAATAGTAACTCTAGAGACCCGTGGATTCGATATTTATCACTTGAGCCACTATACTGCAGTCCCTTCCATTGGTTACACTTGGCCATTGTTAGGTGTTGTGTCATAGCGAGTCACCAATCAGGCTTTCCTTAAACTTAAACTTAGTTAGGGAAGTCGTAACGATTCATCCCCCTAACATCTTAAACTTATCGTGGTGGCTCTTCACCACGATTCTCAAGGGCATAACTGCTGCCCATCTTAAAAATCTCAAGAGCATAACTGCTGCTCTATCTCAAACTGTCTCAAAAGGCAACGAACTGGCGCTAGTGACTAAAAACACTTAAAATGACTTCACCTCCTTGAAGGTGAGTTACTTCTTATAAAGAACTTGTATCTTAACTTTAACAACAACTTATAAACTTAAAGCTTTAAATTAAATAATAACTCATGCACCTTCACATCAAACATAGCTCAAACTAAATCACATATCATCAACAATAATCATGCAATCTCAAACATGAACCAAATACTGCACATACATCACGTAAATCAATACTCGAAAATACTCTATGAAAAATACTTGAAAATCGTAAGACGTAGAATTTACCCCCTTTACACTCACCTTATGATCAAGTTGAACGACTTGAACTAACCAACATTCAAAAATTGGTCGACTTAGGGTCATCTCCCTTTGCTTGGACCATGCACGTAAGCTCATGCAGGAGCTAACTTTTCATTCCATCCATGAGGTGGCCCCATATCATTGTAAGCAAATTTCACTGCCTCGTGACCTATCCATCTCCACTTTTCCTTCTAACTTCAGCATCTAATTTTGCCTGCAAGCCAATCAGTGTAAAGCAATCAGTTTCCCCCTTATCCAAGTTTTCACCAATTAAAATCCCCTGCACATGGCATTGAGACGATAGTGATCATCCATAATTGGGTAGCAATCCTTGTTAGCAAACTCTTTCTAAACAACACCCATCTACGAGCCATAAGCTAGGCAAAAATCAACAGTAGCAAAGGGATTTTATCTCTTAAGTCATCTCAGCGTTAGGAGCTTCTACTGGAAAGGATGGGTTTGAGACAGCCCTCGATCGATTCCAAGCCAAGGCGAGCCACAAAAAGTGATCTTCCAATGTCGATGCTGCCTCCCAAGACCAGGCGATTCGCGATGAAGCTTTGGTGGTCGTGGAAGAGGCGCCAGTTGAGTCCATCGTCTTCCAGCCTGCGACACCGCCGCCTTCCTTCGTTGCCCTCTACGAACGTCTCACGTCGGGAGTAAGAAGCTTCCGCCGCCGCCGCTGGTGGGGAATAGAAATTGATCGTGAGACTGTGGGAGGGTTTAATTGTGGAGGCTGAGTGGGGAATGCGATTAGTCGAGCTAGGTAAAGGAGTTTGAGCGGCAGGGTTCCTTAATTAGTGAATGGGGACGGTTTCTTGGCGTAGGGGGAAGGTGATGGGAAAACTTTTTTTTATATTATTATTATTATTCCTAATCCGCAGTTGCAATCCTTAGTACGTAACCGTTAATCCAACCGTTCACGTATTATGGTCGAACCTGAACCCAAAGGTCGGGGTGTAACAGATGTCGCGCAAATAAAGTGTGGGGTAAAATGCCAAGCGTGAGGTTTCCTATCCTTTGCAAAATCTGGTTTTGGAAGAGATACTAGTTGAGTCTTGGTGGGGTAAGCCTACGAGATGATTCTAGTTCCTCTCTAGTACAAGTAAAATTTCCACCCGTATGATAGGATTGCCAACTTGAGAATGTGCTTTCAAGGGCATAGATAAAGATTCCGACACCCCTTGACTTCATTTACCCTCCACACGATCAAGGAAAAAGAGAAAAAAACTGCCCTTGCTTGATCAAGGCTTACTAATTACCAAAGTACAAGGCAAAATAAACCCCCTTATGCACGTTAAAGTAGCACAAAATGTGCATTGCTAATTAAGAGAACTGCATCTCATGAAAGACGAATCATTTTACCCTTATGAAGTATGTTTTGATCACATTGCAAAGGATCAAAGTCTCTAAGTGAGGGTTGACCTTGTATGGTTCGTATGATCCACTATCTAAGAGCGAAAATCACATGTCATTATGGAGATCTGGTGAGGAGAAGGATGATGGAATTAGGTTTGCTTGGGGACAAGCAAAGTTCAAGTGTGGGGTTATTTGAAGACACATAGAAATGTCTATTCTAGACGCCCATATTATAATAAAAAGTGCATACATTTCTTATCATTATCCTCATAATACCTTGAATTCGTGGTATGTTTGCTTTATGTGTGTTTTGGCAACCCAAGGATTGCTTTTATAAGATTGATATGCTTTTGGTACTGTTTTGTGCATTTTTCATGTCAAAGCAGACTAGTGGACCACTTGGAAACTGTAGGGCACATTGAGATCCAGTTGCCGGAGCCATGATTCGAAGATAGGAATACTTAAAGAAATTGCACCCAAAATGGCACCCTAAGTATGAACCGCTATTCAGCCGCCATTTTGTTGAGATCAACTCCTTCGTCATAAAGTTGCCCCGTAGCCTCATGATTTGCTGACCACGTGTTGGGACTTAGGAGTCTTTAGATTTGCTGGATGACGCTGGAAATACGAGAATTCCTCCATAGAAAGCCTAATCAAAAGCCTATAAATAGACCTATAGACGTAGAACTCGGAGAGGAAGAGACGACAAGTCAAGGAAGGATCGTTACGTTGCCGACAGAGTAACCCTCCTAACTTAGAACAAGACCAACCTCTGAGGGAGAAACGATCCAAAACGGAGGCCTAGGCCCCATTTACTCTGTCATCAACGACGATTTCCGTGGGCTTTTGCGGTCTTCATTTCAATCGATGAAAACCCAGGAGTCCCTTCCCATGGCTGGCTAAGTTCCTTAGTTTTTAGGTATGTGACCCTAGGGGTTCTAACCATGTAAAACTCAATGTTTGGTTTAATACGATTGATCTTATTCATATGTGTTGATGTTTGATTTCCTCTATTTTGTTATTTATTGATTCGGATGAGATCTTAGGCGACCTTGCAGTCCTTCGAGGTGCAAGGATCAAAATCTAAGTCTCTTATGATTATGACTTGAAATGGCGGTCCTATTCGATCAAACTTCATTCGATCAAATTGTGTGACGCCTCAAGGAAGAAATCCGAAGGGTCCTTGTCGGCCATTAAGTTGGGTAAATCTTCTACACAAGTTGGGATCTAACTATATAAGAAATTGACAACTTGTATGCCACCGATCATCAAGGGATGCATGGTTAAAATACCGATGGGGAGCATGTCTATGCAACGCCTTCCTTCTCTGATCCCTCACTTGTCCATTATCGTAGATATACTTTTCTGCACCGGATACATCTTCACTCTTACATTTTGCAAGTTCGGAGGCACCTCAACCTCCTAAACAAACCTCTTCTTCAATAGAACCGTACCCCACTTCCAAAGTAAGGGCTGTACGAGAGGATATAGGTAACTACGATCATGGCCTTAAGGCTAGGTAAATTTGGCTCTGTTCTACAAGATATCATGGAGGAAGCGGGAGGACAAGGTGTTGCATAAGTGAGGTCCCCCTAGAGTTCCTTTGGCTCGTAACTTTGATCCTTCCAATATATGAGTTGCTTGATCATTGTTAGGTTTATTCCTACCATATTCCCTGGAAAGTTCTAGGTATAGCAGGCAACAATATTAGGGTCCTACAAATGTCTTATTTGGGGAAGTCGATGCATTTGATTGATTGATGATCGATCGTAAGGGACCGTCATGTCCAGTCTAATCCAATCACGAAGCGGGTTTCGGAATATAACTTTTGAAGTTAGTCCTCATATTATGCACACAATCACATCAATAATATACCAAACAAAATAACATATAAAAAGATAAAAGAAATCAAACCATCATATATATTCCAAAATCGAAGATTATATGGTCAATAGCCTCTCGAGTTTCGCTACTTACCCAAATAAGGGAACTAGTTGACCATTAGGATGAGTTCCTGGGGTTACATAAATCGAAACGAGGTCCCCATAGAGTAGGGGTGGCTATTTGGTCCGGTTTTTTATTTTATTTTATCCGAAACCGGACAGTATAACTCAGACCGAGATCCGACTGGGACCGGATAACAAACAATCCAATCTTGCCTTCGGGCTTAGATTAGAGGTAAAAAAACCGTTTGAGACCGGACCGAAAACCGAATAAAGACTGGATAAGAGAGCACAACACCCACAAGCTCAATCTAAAATCAAGACCGGATTGGGACCCGACTAGGTCGAGAACGGACTAGATCAAGACCGGACTGTATCTAATCCCGTCTTTGGTCCTCATATTTCAAAAAAGACCGGACTGAGATCGGATCAATTCAGGCCAATTTAACCGGACCGGACCGTATAGCCCCTCCTACCATAGAGCTCCAAATTGGTGGGTAGAATAGAGCCAACGCAGACTAGGTCGTCGTTTCTAGCATCTGTTTGCCCTTCATAGCTAGTTTAGTTCTAAGTCGGTTGAATCAGTCTGTTGGGAGAGTAACGGCCTTCTAATGCCTCATCACACTAGCTACCAAACTCCTACCTCATATAAGTCTATTTATAGGCTTTCTATTAGGTTTTATAGGGAGGAGTGGTCAGTTTTCAGCGTGTCTTTGAGTCCATACAGGTCTCCTCCAACTTAGCCACCATGAAAAGGAGTATTCTGGATGGAAGATGAAAATGCTAGAGGAAAATTACATTCTCAAGATTTTTTCCTCCGTTGTCGAAAGCTATTATAGGACTAAGGGGAGGGGAAAGCTGGGAGGAAATAAACTGTTCAACTGATCCCTCCAATATTAGCATAAAATTTTACTCTTCCTTACTTTTCTCCCATAATTTTCTCCATATTATAATTTGGTTTATTTTGTTACTTTCCATTTCATCCCGGATATGAATGTCTTATATTCAGTTTCCTTCTTTCTCTAGCCGTTTTGATCCAATCTTGATATTCTTTCGTCTCTTTTCAATCAGGGTGATTTTCTTTCCTTTTTTCCTTTGTGAAATTCTTGCCGGTTTTTTGGTGCAAAAATAAGGAGGGATTAGATGAGTGATTGTAACACCTTAGGCAAATCCCACATCGACAAAGCACGGGAGAGATCCATGGTTCATAAGTAGGAAACCGACCTTAACTGACAAAACGCGTTTTGGGGTGTAATGGAGGAGTTCTTGAGAGAACTCCGAAGTTAAACGTGCTCAGTGTGGAGCACAACAATGATGGGTGACCTTATGGGAAGTCACCCTGAATTGCACCCTAAGTTGAAATCGGTGCGGGTGTAGAGGCCCAAAGCGGACAGTATATTGTCGGAAAAAAGTTCGGGATGTTACACTAGCTAAACACATATATTCGTTTGATTGGTGACGAGGACTTCTGTATGGGCAGTATAATTAGAGATGGTAAGGGATACATTATGTTGGGTTTCTCGAGAAGAGATAAGGGGAAATATAGTGTTGATGAGGCTGTGTATAGAGCTATGCTGGTGGGAATTGGTGAAGCGAAGAGGACAAAGATTTGACTTTTTACACTGCTTTCTTCAGCTGTCACTCTCTCACTAACTCCAAACATTTTTTCACTCTCTTTGTGTTGTTGCTCACCGAACTTTCGTGCATATTTGTTTTGTGATCTTTTGATTAAGGTATGATGGAACAATGACTAAAATGGTTTCCTAAGATTTGGAATCTTGTGTGCAGATGTTGTACGAGCATAAATATAATACTTATGGCAATCCTGACAAAAAAAAAAAAAAAAGACAATTCATCCTACCAAAGATGGGCCTATAAGATTTCTGGACCATAATGGTAAAAATATCTCATAATAAATTAATCCAGAGTTAATAGAATGGCTTAACCAACTGTATGCAAGTGCATTGTTGTTGGATTCTGTACTTGCATTTCGGACATTACAAAACCGGAACATCTGAAGTTTAATGGATAAAAACACGAAATAAAGTTGCCTTGCAGCTAGATCTCTCAACTGCTAACATGATATGGTTAGTGGTGACATCTTGAAACTTCATATACTCCTTTAACTTGAAATGTATCGTTCAACTCGAAAGTGAGAGTGGTAAAAGGGCATAAATAAGAAACGAAGAAAAACTAGACCAAAGATCAATAGATGACATTCGTTTTATAAAAAACTTAACACTCCGACGTCATTTTTCTTGGGACGTAACACACTATTACATCTCATTTTGTGTATCACGTAAAACAACATTATGTATGTTGTAAGTTAGTGTTGCATTCGTTTCATAGTTCTTGATATACAAATTTACTAAACCAACTAAATCAAACAAGGATTCCAAAAAAAGCAATAAAGAAGGGGTTAATTACATGGTTGGTCACTGAGATTACTAAAAACGTTCGGGTTTGGTCACTAAAAATATTTAATTCCGTTCGTGGTCACTAAAATTAATCAAACAATTCAAGTTTGGTCACTCTCCGTTACCTTCCGTCAACCTCCATTAACGCCGTCAATTTTTTTGCTGACGTGGCTAACAGAAGTGCCTAATAAGCTAATTTTAACCCACAAAAAATAAAATCCGGCCCGCCACCTCTTTAAAATCAGCCACATAAGAAACCAACCCAACCCTTGACGCGATCCTTTCTCTTCTTCCTCTTGTTGACCCAACTGGAAAAAATCCCTCTTCTCTCAAATCCCAAATCAGATCGCAAACATACATGGGTCTTCTTCCCAAAACCACTACTCCACGCCAGCCAACGACGGCGTCTGCCATCCGACCGTGTCCCGGACGTCGGTCTTCTTCATAGCTTTATATAGTGTTGAGGACGGTGGATCAAGCCCTGCGTGTTGTCGTTCAGAAGAATAGTTGCCATGGTTTTACCCGAAACTTCCCCAATCGTCGTTCTCTTCTTGTTTTCGACAGTGGAGGCGGAGGAAGAGGGACAAGGACAGCTGGAGTCGGAGGGAGAAGGATAGTCAAGGAGACCGCCCCCAATTCTACCTCCAATTATGCCTTGCGACGACCGAGATTCGAGTTCTTTGCCGTCCGTTGATGTGAGATTCGAGTTCTTGGTCGAGCCCCAAGTTTGCTTATGTCATGCTTGATATCTGATTCGAGTTCTTCCTCTCTCTCTCTCTCTTCGTCTTCTTCTATTCCCCTCTCCTGATTCCTTTCTCTTTCCCTCTGGATTCTGATCTTCTTCTAATGCTCCCCCCATCTTCCCTCCTCTTCTTCGTATATAACCCATCCCATTTCCAAGAAAGGAAAAAATTTGAAATGAGATGGATTTTTCCAATCAAAGGAAGCAGGGAAGGGGGTTTAGGCGGAGTGGGCGAGCGAGAAGTTGAAGGGGTTAAGTTACTGTAATTGGAATATTAGTATTAGTAAAAGGTTAGGCGTAGCAGTTTCGACGTTGTATTGGACGGCGACGAGATCGGTTTTGTGGCAAGGCAAAGTGGAGTGACGATAGAGGATGAATAGGGTTTGTGAAGATAGATTGGTTTGGTTAATTTGTATAATTATTAATTGGGATATTTTTTAGGTCGGGTGGGTCAAGAAAGAAAGGTTGGGTCATGGGTTGAGTGAGACAATCTGACATGGCGAGTTTTTAATGAGGTAGGGGGTTGTGTTAAATTTCTTTAAAAAAAAATATGAGTAGACACTTCTGTTAGCCACGTCAGCAAAAAAACTGACGGCATTAACGGAGGTTGACGGAAGGTAGCGGAGAGTGACCAAACTTGAACCGTTTGATTAATTTTAGTGACCGCGAACGGAATTAAATATTTTTAGTGACCAAACCCAAACGTTTTTAGTAATCTCAGTGACCAACCATGTAATTAACCCAATAAAGAAGTAATATTTTCTTTTTGGAACCAAGAAGTAATTAATCCTCTTCAATGACTTACTTATTGGATTATCTAATCATATTTCACTAATTAATATAATCCAAATTTACCTCAAATATTTTATACTTTTTTCCTGAATGATCTATGCAATCATAATTAACTATATTAAGACCAAGTTAAAAATTAATATCTCCACCGCCTTGGAATGATACCCACTATTTAACTCTCATCCACCTCTTATCAACCATTCACGGTCTCTTTATCACTGTAACATCCCAAACCTTTTCCCGACAAGATACTGTCCGCTTTGGGCCTCTACACTCGCACGGTTTTTGACTTGGGGTGCAATTCAGGGTGACTTCCCGTAAGGTCACCCATCCTTATTGTGCTCCGCACGAGCACGTTTAACTTCGGAGTTCTCACAAGAACTCCTCCATTACACCCCAAAACGCGTCTTATCAGTTAAGGCCGGTTTCCAACTTATGAACCATGGATCTCTCCCGTGCTTTGTCGATGTGGGATTTGTCTAAGGTGTTACATACACCCCCCCTTGGGACTCAAAGCCCTCGTTGAGGTTTGCCCCACCATCGTTCAAGAGGGACGCGGAGAGGCTCTGATACCACTTGTAACATCCCAAACTTTTTCCCGACAAGATACTGTCCACTTTGGGCCTCTACACCCGCACGGTTTTTGACTTGGGATGCAATTCAGGGTGACTTCCCGTAAGGTCACCCATCCTTGTTGTGCTCCGCACCGAGCACGTTTAACTTCGGAGTTCTCACAAGAACTCCTCCATTACACCCCAAAACGCGTCTTATCAGTTAAGGCCGGTTTCCTACTTATGAACCATGGATCTCTCCCGTGCTTTGTCGATGTGGGAATCTCAGCGGGCTTTGATTCGCTGTAACGGTTTGGGTTTTTCAGCTGTTACTCGTTTATGTAACTGTCGATGTCAATCCAATGATTCGTCTTGGAATAACAATTCAAATAAAAAAAATTAAAAGCCGAGTCCCAACCCGAATAGGTCTCTCGCTGCCAATGGGGAGTTGCACTTCGGACTTTTATTTAAAGACTGGCTTTCAGCGAGACGCTCACACGCTTTCACAACAACAAGAGCAGTTCTCCGAAGCTGAAAGAAGTGCCGCCATTGCCAGCGAAGACCACTACACAGGTACGTGGACAAAAGATGGGGTCGGGGGCAGTTTTTGGATTTGGCGGGATACAGACTTGTTTCGAATCCTTGCTGTCCCACAGTCCTGTTTTCCATGGTGGGGTTTTGATTCCCTTCATGATGACGAGGCTATATTGCCATGTGATACTTATGATGAACTGCTTTCCTTGCAGCTGCATACCATGTCGCAAGTTGCTAAGGACCAGATTGTCGAGTTCTCTTTGGAGGACGTCCAAACGGAGAAGATGCTTAGGGCTCGCACGGTGTTGGGTCGCCTCTTCTCAGAGAACCAATTCTCCATAACTGAGCTGCGGGAGTCGGTAAATAACCCCTGGCAGGGACGAAGTCGGATCAGAATCAGGATGGTTGCCCATGGTTTATATGAATTTGTTCTCCCAACTGAAGCTATTAAAGCTTGGGTACTGAAACAATCGCCGTGGGTCATCAAGGACAGGATTCTCCATTTGCGATCCTGGTCCCCTACCACCGACAAACGTACCTTTGACGACCTTGCAATAGCTCCCTTCCGCGTCCAACTATGGGAGGTACCGGAGGACTGCTGTACAAAGCAGTTTGGGAAGAAGGTTGCCGAGGCTATGCTAGGAAGGGTGCTCGAGGTCGGGTTGTTTTCGTGCTCGGATTCAGCGCGCCAATTCATCAAGGTGAAGGTCCTCCTCGACTTCTCCAAGCCGCTGCTTTCTCAAATCATGGCGTCCAATGAGAAAACTGGTCGCTTCTGGATAAGCTTGAAATACGAGCACTTACCGAGCTTTTGTTTTCACTGCGGGCGAGTGGGTCATTCCCGGCAGACTTGTATCTACGACCCGCCGGCTGGGACAGAAAGGTTTGGTCCGCATATGCTGACCAAAAAAATGGGCCGTAAGATTTATGATGATGAGGAGACCCCTAGACCTTACCCTCCTCGTTCGGTTTGGGTGAACAGATCATAAAGAACACAGGGGAAGTGGGCACCTACCGACCGCTCACGCGCCTGTAGAATTCCGAGGAGAAGCTGGCTAGGGGAAACATCAGGCGGTGAAGGTAGGGGCTCGGCCTGCTGTTGACACGAGCCCTCTATGGATGGGCACATCCAATAACCCATTTATGGAGGAGTCGGCAGACCACCAAGGGAGGCATCCCTCTCTTCGCTTCCCCGTGGCTAAGGGCCCAAGAATTGTTATTGGGAACCATGGTAGGAAAAATCACCTGCAATAGGAGCATGATGCCAAACCTCCCATGATGTCACGTAAGAAGACAAAAGAGGTTAGGGGTCGGAACTCAAGAAGGGACATGCAACAGGAGTTGATGAAGGCTCCCCGTCCTGAGAAGCGTAATAGGGGGCAACGAAGGAATCAATCCCCTCGTCCCTCGCAGGAGTCGCCCAACCTCGGCAAAGAGCTCGATCCTTCTAGACGACGCCGGCTGATCCTCCAGGAAGAATCAGAAGAGGACTTTGTTGTGCATGAAGTCCCCATGCAGAATCGGCCTTTGGAGACGTTGGGAAAAGGTGGTTCCGCTTCAAACAACCAGGACAATGAGCAGCCGAATGCTCCTCGTGCTGGGCTTCCTAGCCTGCAGCAAAACATGGCCAAGCAGGCAATGGAGCCTAAGGAGACGGATAGGGATATCCCCGACCAACTACTGAAGCCGATTGAGCATTCCTCTCGCAGTGGTGTGATCATTGATGCTAAGCCCCTGCGTGTTTGTCCTCCTCGGCGAGAGTTGGTGGAGCATGGTCCGATGTTGGGAGCATAGGCTGATGTTGATAGCTCCAACTTCTTGGCTGAGCCGGGGAAGGTCCCGAGTACGGGCTGTCATGCTCAGTTGGCGGACACGTCTTCGGACGAGGACATCAACTTGTTTAAGCTTAAAAAGCGTGCTACGGCTGGGAAGAGGAAGCTACGTCGCCAAACTCAGGCGGGGCGGGTTCACCAAGCCGTCCAAGCTTTTGAAGCGGGGCTGGTGATGGATGCTGGGGGAGGGCTTGATCAATTTGGTCTCAATGAGTATGGGACCAATCTCGTGGCACCATCGTGCGGGAGCTTAAAACGACCTTTGGAGGAGCTGGAGGATCATAATGAGGCCGCTCCGACTCCTAAGAAACAATTTGTGGAAGACAATGAGAATATGGAAAAGGTGAAGGAAGCCAGCCTGGAATGGCCCCACCCGGTTAAATGAGGCTTCTAGCTTGGAATGTGAGAGGAATTGGACCATCCCTCACATTCCAAACTGCTTTTGAGTTAATTCGTTCTAATAAACCGGATCTCGTGTTTTTTTCCGAAACACGATCGAGCCGGAATTTTGTGTCCCGACGTATGCGCGGCTTGGGCTTTGAGAGTTCTCGTTGTTTCTTTGTTGATGCGTTTGAAGCATCTGGTGGTTTAGTTGTAGCTTGGTCCCCCGAAGTTGACGCTTCGGTGTTTTTTAATTCCGACTTTTGTATCTGCACTCAAATAAATGAAATTTCCTTTTCTTATGTGGTTGTTTCTGCCATTATTAGCTATAATTAAGCAATCGGAGCAACTCAGTTGGCTCAGCTGCAGCAAATTTGTGCCGCTATCCAGCTTCTTTTTGTGGTTATAGGTGATTTTAACTCTACTCTTCGCGAGAGTGAGAAAGATGGAGGGAACGATTGGAATATGGCCCACTCTATTAGCCTAAGGGATTTCGTACAGGACCTTGGTCTTCACGATCCTGGGTACCAGGGGGACCCATTCACTTTGACCAATAGAAGGATGGGTGTGGCCTGTATTCGTGAGAGGCTGGATCGAGCGTTATGCTCCCAAGGCTGGATTGATCTTTTTACAGAGACTTTTGTGAAGCATTTCACAGACCAGGGATCGGATCATCGGGCTCTCCTTCTCTCAGACAAACCCTATTCCCGCAATGCTCGACCCTTGTTCCGATTTGATGCTCGATGGGCGGACAATCCTGAGGTCCGGGCCATGGTTAGTTATGTTTGGAGGGAAGAAATTGCTGGTACTCCCATGTTTCAGTTGTGGGAACGCCTGAAGAAGCTTCGCCACTTACTTTATGATTGGAGTAGGGCTGGTACCACGAACTCCCTACGGAATATCAAGACTCTCCAGGCTGAAATCGACCAGGTGAAATTAGTTCACCCCATTGATTGGGATACAATCCGCGGCCTGGAAGTGGAATTGAGTAGGCAGTGGGAAGCAGAGGAGATATACTGGCAGTAGAAGTCCAGAGTCCATTGGCTAAAAAAGGGTGACAAGAACACTTCTTATTTCCATACGGTAACCAGGGCTAGGCGGAAACGGAATTTTGTGGCAGGCCTCCGAGATGATAACGGGGAATGGGTCACGGATGAAGCTAGAAAGGCAGGAACTGCTTGTAACTTCTATAGTACTCTTTTTACCTCGGAAAACCAGATAAGGAACATACGAGAGAGGGTTGCGAAATTGCCCATAGCCCAGAATATTACACCAGAAATGAATGCCAACCTGACGGCTGAAGTCCTTCCTTGTGAAGTAAGGAAAACTGTTTTCTCAATAGGCTCGAAACAAGCTCCTGGGTCGGATGGGTTCACTGGCAAATTTTTCAAAGCCTTCTGGGATATTGTTGGCGATTCCGTGGTAGAGGCGGTCTGCTCGTTTTTCAGAACAAGCAGGATGCTCCGCAATTTTAATCATACCTGGTTGACCTTGATTCCTAAAGTGGATAACGTGGAAACCATGAGGCAGCTTCGTCCAATAAGCCTTTGTCAGTTTGTCTACAAAATTATTACGAAGCTAATGGCTGAACGTCTGGCTGGGCTTTTGCCTCATGTTGTCTCTAGAGGTCAAAATGCTTTTATTCGCGAGCGCCAGATAGTAGAGAATATTCTCCTGGGGCATGAGTTGATGCACTATCTTAAGATCAAAAAGACAGGTAAGAAAGGGTACATGGCTCTAAAGGTTGACATGGAAAAGGCCTATGATAGAGTCGAATGGCCCTTTCTTCTTGCTGTTTTGGAAAAGATGGGCTTCAACTCAACCTGGAGGGGATGGATTCACAAGTGCCTAAGAACAACTTCGTTCTCGGTGCTAATGAATGGCACTCCGTCAGGATACTTCTCTCCTTCTAGGGGGCTCCGCCAGGGAGATCCTCTGTCTCCTCTCTTGTTTGTGCTATGCACTGAGGGATTTGCGGCTCTCCTACATAAAGCAATTGCTGAACAAAAACTTCAGGGGGTTAAAGTGGCTCCCCGGGCTCCTCGTATCTCGCACCTCTTCTTTGCGGATGATTCCTATTTATTTCTGAGGAGGGTCCCTCCAGGAATGCGAGAACCTGATTGAAGTGTTGAATGAATATGAGGAGCTCAGCGGCCAACGGGTTAACTTGGACAAATCTGCTGTTTGCTTTAGCAGAAATATTGCGCTGCCTGACCAAGAGTTCTTGGCCTGGATCCTTGGGGTTGGGACAGTAGGGGTCCATGATAAATATCTGGGATTACCAACACTCATTGCTCGCTCTAAGATGGCTACTTTTCGCTATCTGGAGGAAAAACTCCTGGAAAGGCTGCAGGGGTGGAAACGGAGGACTTTGTCCTGGGCGGCTAAAGAGGTCTTGATAAAGTCTATCGCTTTGGCATTACCATTGCATGTCATGTCCTATTTCAAGCTCCCCCTGGCCCTATGCAGGCTTCTTGATAAGCATGTAGCTAGGTTCTGGTGGGGTGTTGGGGAGGATCAGACCAAAATCCGTTGGGAGGAATGGGCTTTCGTTGCTTTGAGCATTTTAATCAGGCTCTGCTGGCCAAGATTGGGTGGAGGATCGTTACGGAACCTCAATCGGTTTTAGCGCAGGTCTATCGAGGTAAGTACTTCCCTACGGGAACTTTCCTCACTGCTCAAGCGCGGTCCCGCCCATCTTGGGGTTGGCAAAGTATTCTGCATGGTAGGCAGTTACTTGAGAAGGGGATTATATGGCAGGTTGGAAATGGTCAGACAGCCTCTCTCTTGTCATCTAACTGGGTTCCTCTCTTACATCCATCTCCTCCGCAATTTAACCCCATGGTTCTGCCGGATGGGGGTGACCCGCTGGTTGCTGAGGTAATTATTCCGGGAGAACGGCGGTGGTGCGATTCTAAGCTTAACCAGTGGTTTGACCCACAGACCTGTCGTGCCATCAAAGCCATCCCGCTTCCCCGAGACAATGTAGAAGATAGGTTGGTCTGGCATGACTCGACTGATGGGGTTTTGTCGGTTAAGTCTGTGTATCATCTGGCAGTTAGATTGGATCAAGGTAACCACCGTCGGAGAGCTACGGTTAGTTGGATGGACAGGACCAGTTGGATTCGATTGTGGGAGGCTAACATTCCACCTAAGTTGAAGGTATTTGTTTGGCAAATTTTTAATAGGATTCTGCCTACTACAGTGGCTCTTCGGGAGAAGGATGTCGAGATACATCCCAGGTGTCCAGTTTGTTGGGAAGGGACTGAGACAATGGAACATTTATTTATGGATTGCCCAGTGGCCCGTGCCCTTTGGGATTATGCAGGGTTGGAACATTTAGGTCAAGGGTTGCCCGACATACTTTCCCTCTCTTTCTTAAGAACTTACTGGCCGTTATCCGCCAACAAGACCTTTTGTTAGCTGTTGTGGCTGTCCTCTGGCGAATTTGGCGAACTCGGAACTGGTTAGTCTTTAAAGGAAAGCAGTTTGGGTTCCCAGCTTTGATGAGGCAGTACAACCAGAAGGTGGATGAATGGGTACGTCTCCCAGCTAATCCGGTCATGGTTCCGGGAATCCCTGTGCCGACATACTTGGGTCCAGTTCAGACTAATGCGGTAATATGTATGTGGGATGGGGCGACTCACCAAGGGTCCCACTCGGCGGGTGGGATGGTAATCATGACGTCGGCTAGGGAGATTCTGGGGGTTATGGGGGTCCATTTCCAATGTATTGATGACCCTTTGGTGGTGGAAGTTTGATAAGCCGTTAATTGCACATGTTTTTACCCCTATTCTGGAGCCTTTTGGGATGGTAATTCTCGTATTTTAGGCCGATTTCACGCTAGGTTGTGTTTGTTTGTGATATTTCAGGTCCTAGCAAGTGAATGAAGGTTTAGGAGCGAGTTCGGGGTCGATTGGACGAAGATCAAGCGCGAGGCAAGTCGAAAAGGAAGCCACACGGGCACACCCACAAGTCACACGGCCGTGGAAGTGACCACTTTGGCCGTGTGAGATTGTGCGAGCCTTCACACGGCTTGCCCTGATATCCACACGGCCGTGTGAAGGAGTGGTTTGGCCGTGTGGAATTATGCGAGGCTTCACACGGCCAGGCAGGGTGATCCACACGGCTGTGTGACCCTGGCCGTGTAGGAAGCCTGAAGTGCAACTAATCGGGACGCAGCGTTTTGAAGTCACACGGGCAACTGGGTATGCCACACGGCCGTGTGGCCCTGCCCTTGTGAGTCGGGAATTCCTGGTTTTAACCCAATTTCGGGCTGCAAGTGAGAATCGGACTTTTTAAGCAAAAACTGAGCCCTAGAGAGAGAAAGGACGAAGAACACATCCTAGAAGCTATCTTGGAGCTGGGTTTCATCAAATCGAGCTTGGAGATCGTCACAGGAGTGGAAATCATCATCCCAGAGCAGATTCTTCCCATTGTAATGAGTATGACTGCTTTGTACCTTGTTTTCTTCTCTCTCTCTCTATGGAGTAGAACCTCTCTCTCACTTGGGGATGAAGAACCCTAGTTCTATGTGTTAGGGATTGATTGTAATGACTTGGGATGATATTATTGTTTGATTTCAATCGAATGATGCATGTTTATTGAGTCAATTGAAGTCTGATCAACTTTTCTTGATTCCTGC